CAAGGTGGGGGGAAGGGGCGGAGCCTCCACGCCCTGCCCCTCCCCATGTCCCTCCCCCCGCCCTAGAGGGGCTCTGTGGGGGCTCCGTCCCATGGGCACGATCGAGCGCACCACTGGCCATTGGTGACAGCTCAGCCCCAGCCCCTCTCCCCTCCCTGGGGTCGGGGCGGGCTGAGAGCGCAGCCTCTAACTGGGGGTTGGTCCCCGGCCACCAGCCCTGTCCTCCGGGCGTCACCAAATTAGCATGAACTCAGGTGTGGCTGAAATTCAGGGGCTTCTTTCGACGAACAAAAGACGTCCCTGTCACCCTGTCCCTCACTCAGGAAAGTCCAGGGGTCTTAGAAGCGCTTGTGCCAGGAATGGGGGCTGGAGACCTGACATGTAAATCTCACCTCCCGATATCGCAGGATGAGAACCGGGCAGGGGCGTCCTGTGGTCACAGGGGCTTCAGGGTCCCGCGCCGTCCTGGGATCGTGAGCTGAGCTCTGACGGCACGTCCACCCCCATAGTGCCCCCTATGTCGGGGTCACACACCACGCCTGTCCCCAACATGGCCCGGCTCCCTTGGCTGCTGGGCCGGTGGTACTGCTGGCTCAGGCTGCCGTCCCTGGCCCGCCAGCCGCAGTTCCTCGGGTTGGCTGACCACCTAGCTGGGCTTGTCAAGGCCGGGGCTCCCCAGGACTCGGGCTCAGTCTGCATTCCTTAGACAGGCGTCTCCCCAGGCCAGGGAGGAACCCTCCCTTCTCTCTCCTGGTGCTCACAGTCGATTCAGGCCTGGTTTCGGCCTTGAAGGGCATTATAGGGGAGGCTTGTATTTCCCATGATGTGTTTTCTTTCTGGGAAGGGGTTGAGTGTGTTTCTCCCCCCCAAGCCCTTCTCGGCCCTGTGCTGGTTGCTGGTCCCCTTGCGCCCCCTGGGGCCGGGAGGTGGGGCGGCTGCAGGGGTGCTGGGACCCCCCACCGCGTGCGCCCTCCTCCACCAGTGTGGAGAGCTGACTGGGCGAAGGAGGGGCGGACTTGAGGGTCTGGGCGGGGGCCTCCTTCAGCCCTGAAGGGACAGGAGGAGGATCACAGGGATTGCTCCAGGCTGGCCCCACTGGTGGCAGATCAGGGACGCCTGGGGCGCTGTCCCACGGTCGGTGCTCAGGACACCGTCCAGTACTGCCACGTGCAGGAGTCGGGCTGGGCTGTGGGTGATTGTGGGGCCTCTGACCTCCCTCTTCCCGTGTGCTGAGCGTGGTGGCTACACAATCAGCTACAGCACGGGCCCTGAGTCTATATGTGGGGTGAGCCCAGGAGGCCTTCCTGGAGGAAGCAGCACCTCAGATGACATCTGGAGGGAGGGCAGGAATGGGCTCCCGGCAGAGGATGCAGCATGTGTGGGCGGCAGGGCCGGGCGTCTGCAGGTCCCGGGCTCACCATTAAGGGGCCGGGCGCCTGCCGGGCCATCTGCCGCTCTCTCTCCTGGGGGCGCAGGCTGCTCACCATTCAGGTCTCGGCTCAGGTGTCACCCCTTGCGGCAGCCCGCCTTGACACCCTGTCTCCGTTAGATGAGCACCCGCCCCCACGGGGGCCAGAGCTCTGTGCGGGCAGCCCTGGGCCCCTCGGGGATCTCGTTTACCCGCCGGGGTCCCTGGGAGGCTGGGTGGTGGATGGCCGGGGGTCCTGATGGTGCTCTCCTCCCCACCAGCGGTACCTGGTGCCTCAGGCGCGCGCCCTGTGCGGCCTGGATGAGAGCAAGGCCAAGCTGTCGCCGGCCGTGCTGACCCTCCTCATCAAGCAGTACTGCCGCGAGAGCGGCGTGCGCAACCTGCAGAAGCAGGTGGAGAAGGTGAGCGGGGGCTACACTGTGTGGGGGGGGGGCGATGCCCGAGGACGCGGTGCTGACCGCAGTGACCGGACACGGAGGGGCAGACACTGTGGGGTCCACTCACGGGAGGGCCCTGGGGGGGTCACATCCACACACACACAAAGTGGATGGTGGGGCCAGGGGCTGGGGGAGGGGACGGGGAGTCAGTTTCATGGGGACAGTCTGACTTTGGGGAGATGGAAAGTTCTGGAGATGGATGGTGGGGATGGTTGTATGACCACGTGAATGTGCTTCATGCCACTGAGCTGTGCACTTAAAATGGCTCAGATGGTGAGTTCTGCGTCACACGTACTGTACCACAGCTGTAGAAATGAAAGAGCTGGTGGGGGTGGGCGGGGGTGGTGGCACGGCCGCCCCCCAGCCCAGCCCAGCCCGCGCTGCCCCACAGGTGCTGCGGAAGTCGGCCTACAAGATCGTGAGCGGCGAGGCCGAGTTCGTGGAGGTGACGCCCGAGAACCTGCAGGACTTCGTGGGCAAGCCCGTGTTCACGGTGGAGCGCATGTACGACGTGACGCCGCCCGGCGTGGTCATGGGGCTGGCCTGGACCGCCATGGGTGAGCTGTCCCTTCCCTGGCCCCCTGGGGGGTGTGTTGCGCTCGCTTCCGAGCTCTGCTGGGTACAGTGGAGCCAGGGATTGGGGCTGCTCGAGGACGAAGATGGGGCCACGAGCAGCGCACGAGCTGTATCTGGGCGGCACTGACAGGTGCGCGTGCCGGAGAGCCCTCACAGCCCAGCAGCGGAGAGCTGGGGCTGGAGGGGCTTCCGTGCCTGCCGACTTCGCTGAGCCCGCCAGGCAGGCCGGGGCAGAGAGTCCAAAGGGCAGCAGGGGCTCCTTACAGCCCATGGACTGTCTTGTGCGGGGCCAGGGGGGTGGGGGCGGGCTTTTGGGGTCACAGGGACGCTGGCTCTGGCTGGGGGAAGTCTGCTCGCTGGGCCGTGTTCACAGTGGTGTGGCGCGTCAGGCGCGCAGTGTAGGCCTGCGTGTGACCCTGTCCCTGCAGCTGGGGTCTGTGCCCCAAGGGGGTGCTGTGGAGACACTGTGCTGCAGAGTCGTGGAGGAAGAGGAGGCACTAGGCCGGGGAGAGCAGGGAAGGAACAGCGTTGAGGGCAGCGGGAACAGTGAGGGGGCGTCCCTGAGGCCCAGTGGTGAGGAGGGTGGGGGTGGCTGTCCCAGGAACCTGAGGACCTAGGTGTCACGGGCTTTGCTCCTGTCTCTCCCAGGAGGCTCCACGCTGTTTGTGGAGACATCCCTGAGGCGGCCGCGGGACAAGGACGGCAAGGGGGACAAGGATGGGAGCCTGGAGGTGACGGGCCAGCTGGGGGACGTGATGAAGGAGAGTGCGCGCATTGCCTACACTTTCGCCAGGGCCTTCCTGATGCAGCACGACCCCAGCAACGAGTTCCTGGTGACCTCGCACGTCCACCTGCACGTGCCCGAGGTGAGCCCATGCCCACCTGGCTGCCCAACCCACTGCCTCTCCCCCCGGGGCCACTGTCCCCCTCCACCTCTCCCCCGGGGCGCCCCCCCCACCCTCCGCCTCTCCCGCAGGGCGCGACCCCTAAGGACGGCCCGAGCGCTGGCTGCACCATTGTCACGGCCCTGCTCTCCCTGGCCATGGACCAGCCGGTCCGGCAGAACCTGGCCATGACGGGTGAGGTCTCCCTCACGGGCAAGATCCTGCCAGTGGGCGGCATCAAGGAGAAGACCATCGCGGTAAGTGAGGCCCTCACTCCAGGGGCTTCCTGCCCAGCTTAGGACACAGCGCCCCACAGCCACTGTGCACATCTGTGTTGGGGCCTCAGCTGGGAAGAGGGAGGGTCGCGGCCTGGTTTACAGCTGGGGAGACAGAGCCCGGAGCGGGCTGCCTGGGCTCTGTCTCAGGCGCTCCCTGCACAGTGGCGCCCCGCCTTCTCAGAGCATTGGAGAAGGTTCTGGGTCTCTCCACTCAGCTCCTCAGTGAGACTCTGGGTTCCTTGAGGGTAAGAGGGGGGTCTCCTGTTTGCTCGCTGCCCACTTGGCCCAGCCCCGAGGACCATGGGTGCAGAGCAGGCCGGGAGACCGGGGTGGATCTGGGGGGCACGGCTGCCCTGGGCCGGCCTTCTTCTGTGCCTCCCCTCAGTGTTGGGGTTCCTGCTCCTTCATCTAGTTCCTAGCAGAGCCCCCATCGCCCACCCTCCCCACAGCAGCCGAGTCTGACCCCCCATCCCTGGAGCAGGCTGTGCTCCCGCCTATACCCTGCTCAGCCCCTCTCAGACTCAACACCCTGAGTGCATGCAAGGCAGTGTGAGGGGAGACCTGTGATGGGGACACCCCCGGCCTGGTGACAGGCGGGGGCTGCTGTCCACCCAGGGGCAGAGATGGGCTGAGGGGCGGCAGCAGAGGCCCGGGGTGGGGCTGACCCTGTGTGGCTTGAGAAAGGGACAGGTCGCCTGGACCGCAGGGGAGGGGGAGCCCTAGAGGGCTGTGGGCAGGGGAACATGACTCGCGCCCGCTGGTGGGAGCTGCACATGGGGCAGGATGACCAGGCGATCGGGAAAACGTCAAAGCTACGTTCTCAGATACATTGTTTCTCCAGCTCCGTGTACTGTTCAGACGCCACACATCTAAACGTAAAGCAGTGGGGCTGGGATTAATCTAGAAACCCAGGGCCCTGGTTTCCCTGCGTTCCAGGACGCAGTGGGGGAGCAGCCCCCCAGCAGAGGCCGGCGATGGCCCCCTGGCCCCAGGGTCTCGTCTGTGCGGCTCAGGGCCGCAGCGCGCCCCGTGCCCCTCGCCCGGACCGTCCCGGGCTGACCTGTGCTCCCCCCAGGCCAAGCGCGCGGGGGTGACGTGCATCGTGCTGCCGGCCGAGAACAAGAAGGACTTCTACGACCTGGCGGCCTTCATCACCGAGGGCCTGGAGGTGCACTTCGTGGAGCACTACCGCGACATCTTCCGCATCGCCTTCCCCGAGGCGCGGGCCGAGGCGCGGGCCCTGGCCGGGGGGCGGTGACGGTCGGGGGCGAGGACGTCGACGACGGGGGAATCGGGGGGTCGGTGACACGCGCTGTTTAAGCATGATTAAACCCTTCGCAGTACGCGCGGCTCCGTCTCTCCGTGCCCGTCCCCCCCGCCAGCACGACACCGCACGTTCTGGAAAGCTTTTATTGCGCGCACAGGGCAGGGCTCAGTCCTTCTTGGCCGCCGCCTTCCTCATGGCCGCCAGCACGTTGCTCAGCTCCTCGCGCTTCCTCTTGGCGCGGATGTGCGTGCCCACCTGCG